ACAACACACAGTCTCCTTGGTTGTTAATCTGCCCGTCACAACACACAGTCTCCTTGGTTGTCAATCCCGTTCCTCACTACCCATGCCAACGAGGATGAATCTTCCCCTATATTGTGGATAGATTCACTCCCTCTAAGCTATGGCCATAGATTTTGCCTTCAGCGCAGCCTCGTTCCATCACCTTGTCTAAACTAAACATCCTGCCTCCAATCCGACTCTGCAGATCGCTTCGCACTGCAAAAAAAACTCAGAATCGAGCTTTGGTTCGCCCGTTTTCATGGAGAATCGGGCGAGCTACTCATCTCCCACTCTCGATATGTCTTCTCCCGCCATCGCCCGCGCACGACTTTCCCATACTAACTCTTAGTCTACTAACTTCCTATTCAAACTAACCTCAAAATCGGGTTCGTCCGATTTCAAAATCCCGAGTTACCACTTCTCCCACTACGTTTTCACCAAGAAAACAGACGAGGTAAGACCTTACACTCCTGCCATAGCCCAATTCCTACATCCTCCCCTTCGAACACACCCCGACGCAATTCCGGTTCATATTCGTTCACCCGCTCTGCTTCCCAACACCTCTCCGCTACACCTCCCCGCGGAGCTCTCCTCACTAACCTTCCCTTATACTAACTCCCAACGAAAACTAACTCTATAAACGGATGCGTCATCCCTTATAACCTCTACTTCGCATCTCTCCGCGCCTGATTCAGTGGAGAATTTAGCGCGCTTATCACTTATCCCTCCCCGGTGCTAGCGCCCGTCATCTATCTTGGCACTGCCCGACTCCTCCTTGGGAAAGCACCTGGCTTGATTATCGACCGGGTTCGTTCTTCCTCTCCCACAGTGCTACGGTCGTCGCTCACTCAGCGCCTTGCGGTCCGCACAGCCCTGTCGTCGGTCGGTTTGAAAGTGAGACAAAACAAGCGGAGGAGTAGAACTTCCTCTGCTCGTATGCACATCATCCTTGCGCAGAGTCCATGCTAATCTTCTCAATATCGTTCCAATTTTAGCGGATGTCCCGAAGGACAACCCCGACCCGAGCGGATGTCCCGAAGGACAACCGCAACCCGAGCAGATGTCTCGAAGGACTTGGTGCCGGTCGGTGCCCGGATGCTAGCGCGACAGGCAGCCGCCAGGCGAATCTCGCCGTGGGGCAGCCCACCCCGCCCCTCTCTGGTTCGCCCGTACCCGGCGCAGCCCGCGTCCGGGTTCATTTCGGGTTTCTGCGCATCCGCCCTTTGCTTTTCCGCTTACCTTACCGCATCTGCACCCGCCTCCCTATCTTGTTTGGGTTCATTCCCGGACTTGCAAGCTATGCAGTGGCCGAGCTGGCCACCCCAGCCATCTGCGTTGATCGCCCGTCTACGTTAATCGCCCGTCTGCGTTAATCGCGCGACCGTGCAGCATACTATCACGGCGGTAATAACTACAAACTTTAGGCACCGCCCAGGTAGGCACCCCCAGGCCGCCGCTCCGTACCCGAGTCCCGCCATCCAGACTCAAACCTCGGGTCTATGTTTCCAACTGTTTGTGGGTGTACCCACTGTGCTTTTGCGTCCACATACAGGTGCGATATTAATAATACTAGATAAAATTAGACATAATATATATACATATAAGAAAAACAAACGGTAGTCGGGCAGGGACCACGGCACCCCTCCCGGTCGGCCCGTCAGCCCCACGTTTGGTCACGCAACAGCAAAAGGCGAGGGGGATGGTCCCGCAGGCCCATCAACCCCTCAAGCCTTTTCGCCTCGCACCTCCTCTCCCTTGTCGCATGATGTTGGCCTCGATCCCTGCGTTTGCTGCGTACCAGTCCAATGCTGTAACCTATAGGGCTAAGCCCAAGCCTGGTACCAACAGGCCTGACACGCCTTATAGAGAGGTAGCGTACGGCCCTTGGGGCCAAGGAAACGCCCTGTACCACTTTCCCGGCTCATACTTGCATAAAGAACTATCCAAAAACTTATGTCGGTCTCCCGGCCTCGCCACGGCTACTCGTCCTTAGCCAAATCCATCAGGTCCCATCATCTGGATTTTTGCGTAAGTTTATACCGGCTCACTAAGCCGTCCATCGTACCACGCGCAACCAATGAACAAGGTGCTCATAGGCTAATCAATTCAATCAAGACAAAAATGACATATGCTGACTAAAATCCACACCACGTCTACCACTGTAACCAAAAGAAGGGAAAAATCACGCGCGCCTCAAACTTGCGGGCCCACGCACTTTTTACTCTAGTCACCCACTTAGCCAACATAAAATACAGACGCGGCCGCGCCTAGCGCGGCATACTTAAACTTTAAACCAAACTGTTTTTCTGTCGCTTGCAAAAGCCAGGGCGGATACCCTTGTAAGGGTATTCGCACCGACAGCTTACCGGACCATATTAAGCGACGTCCCCGTCGCTTCGCAGGATCAAAAGCTATCAATTCAATCGCAATCCCAAAATTCTGACGAGCAGGGTACCAATCCGATTAACCGACAGACCCAGGGTCGAGGCCTCCAATAATCCATGCCAAACACAACTCTATGCTGCCAGGATTCCAACCTGGGTCTCCGTCGCCCTGACATTCGGACGTCGGGATACTCCTCACTGTACTACAGCATAAGTTCCATTGGATCTCTCACCGTCCTCTCTCTTGTGCCCTAGACAGCCGCCGGCTTCTCGTTGTGTGCCCCTAGCCATTCCCTTGAAACCAAGTCGTGACTAGGAGCGCGGGCCCTAACCGAAACCTTCAAAGGCATTCTCTCGCCTTCCTCTCAAAAATCTTCACATTAACACACGTAGTCGTATCACATAGATTCTCACATAAGCTCTCCTGCAGTCTAGTACCGGAAGACCAGGTCTCCATCTTGGCCCACCATAGTCTGGGCTTTTATTCCAGATCTACGGCCCACCGCATTGTTATTTTAGCGGTAGTACCTTCGCGGGTTGCGCCACGATAGGTTGTTCCTGATAAGTATTCAATCAGGACTTCCTCAAAAAGACTCATACGACTCGACTCTTATCCCACGCCTCTCCGGAGGGATAAAACCCTTCTAGGCGTTCACGCCCCTTTAAGTCTTTACTCCCTTGGCCAGACGCAGACCCTCTGCTCAGGTTGTGCCAAACAGCGGCCAACACTAAGGGTTGCGCCTTAGGGATGTTAGTTATACCCCTAGCTGGGTCTCTTTTAAATGTCCAAGATTAGCACAAGTGACCAGACGGTGTGTCGCAACGATACAGGCCTACTGCGGGACTACGCATAGACCTGTCGCACATAAAGGTATTTACCAGTTCTTCTGTGGGACAACACAGAGGAAGCACGGCAACCTCTCCACAATCACAAAACAAAATCACCGCCTGACTCACAAGGCCGTGTCCTCCTAGCTTGATCAGAGCAAGAAAGTCACATATCTTGATGACATCTCTTAAAACACACCATTTTGCGACATCCAAGAATTTCTACCACTAGTTAAGCAAAAACTTGGTCCCTTTCGTCAGTCTTTTATTATTCAAAGTCAACCATCCATTTATCAATCTATTTAACCACCTTATTTACAGAGGAGGTCTTACTTTTAAAAGGTGTCTCAGTCATCCCTCTCTCACTAGGATAAACTTTCTTGCGATCTTTTTTTTTTTTTTTTTTTTTTTTTAACGCATCTTCCCTCTCTGAAGGTGCGTCTTCCAAATAGATAATGGACAACCTTTCCATTCACAGGTGTCCCACTCATCATATACCCCATATATAAAAGACCAACTTGTGGGTCTTCTGCACAGCTCAATAATTGGATACTCACCATATGAATATTCAGGATCCTCACATCCTTTCACAAAACAAACTGCGCTTCCTTGCCTTATACTCGGCCCTCTCATCTGCCCAAGGGAAGGTCGCACAACTATACCGGCGAGTAGACAGTTCACATTCATCCAGATTCACAAAGTACAAGATGCATCAAGCATTTTCTCGCGCATATTTTACACCAAACCATCATCCATCAAACCAGGACCACACAAGTGAGTGTGAGAGTGATCGTCATATACAACAAGTAGTCCCCAAAAAAAAAAAAAAAGGTCTCGATATAATGTACACTCAGGGATAAAATATCCCACATTAAATGCCTCCAACATACACTCACGGGCAGAACGCCCCATACACAAATGTCCCCAAATCGTAACCCACTCAACTCACTCAAAACCACACTCACACTGATGTCGTCCTTAAAATACAAGTTGGGTCTGTCTCTCGGAGATCAGGGCGTAGGCCACCTAAGTATGTACAAGCCTCATCTACCATATCCCGGTCCTCAAGATGGCAGACTCAACAAAAACCCAACCCAAACTGTCTGACAAAAGCAAACAACACCTAGGCCTACAAAATGTCACCCAATCCTATTTCTAATCCTATACGCAACATGTCAACCATAGAGGAAAACTCAGTCCTGGTCGCTCATCTCCCCCTGGTTTTGCCTATATAGCTGAGCCCTACCCCCATCTGCAGATCTCTCTACTTTCCTGCCTTGTCTATCATACATCCTGCCTCCTTCCTCTGTAACCTTCCCTTCAGCCTTGTCCTTTAGGAACTTAGGACATTGCAAGGCTCGATGCCCCTCCTTTGTACAGAAGGAGCAAAACGTATCGAACCACTTTCTGGACCTCTTCTTTCCTCTCTGAGATCCTGGTGACGATGGTGCCTCGCTAGCCTCCCGGCTCAACTCATGGCTCTGAGGCATATCCAAGGGCTCCTCTCGTGTCTCCAACTCCTGGGTACTCGGTCCAGGTCGGTCCTCAATCCCCTCTGGCCCATACTCGGGCGTGCCCAACCTCTGGAGCCTTCCCTCGATGACACCCTCAGCCTCAATCCTCATCTCTCTCTCGAGAGACTCCTCTATTCTCTGCTCAGGCGAAAACAAACTCGCCTCCTCCTGCATCGAGTGCACGGCCTCAATGAACACGTCCATAGATCCCTCTGCCGAGCCCTGAGTTGGCTCACTGCTGGATGGTGGTAGCCCCTCCTCAATTGCCAAAGGTATGACTGGGCCCGCCGCTGCTATAGGTAGCGTCGCGAGCTCAGTAGGGGCTCTAAACTCGAAGGCCTCTCTCTCTGCCTCCCTTTAGGCTCTCGCCTCCTCTGGCTCCAGGATAACTCTCCCTATAGGTGGCTCCTGGCGAGTCTCTACTGTCGATGGCTGTCCTGACAAACCATGTCCTGGCCGCCTCTGCTCTCCCTGTTGGCTTCTTTCTGGCTCGTCCACCTCTCCATGAGATCGCTGCCTCAGGCTCTCGATGATAGCTGCTTGACTGGCCACCAATACCCTGAGTTCTTGGATTTCCACGTCCATAGCCTTCAGGCGTACCCCATCGCCTGCTTCCTTAATCTTCTTTCCTGCCAGATCGCTCTCCAATAGCAAGTGTCGGTCAAAAATTGCCTTCATCAGGAATTTGATTTTGCGATCCAACCTTTCTTTTGCCTTCCTTGCCACCCCAAGACCGGCTCTGACTGGCGAAGGAAGCTCCTCTCCTCTCTGCTCCCAGAAGTCCCTCCACATCTCAGGGATCTCCGGGGCCCTAGCTGGCGCGCTGGGTGGCTGACCTGGGAGTCCTCCTGCTGCCTCCGATCTCTGCCTCTCCTCCTGCTGCTCCGGAAGCTCCCCCGCTGCCTCCAACCTCTGCCTCTCTTGCCATATCTCTTCTATCCTCCTGGTTCTTCTCGCCCTCTTTTCTTCGTCTGTCTCTCCAGCCGGCGCCCTTTCCCTTGTGCGGAGGTCAACCCTCTTCGGGATCTCTGCCTCCACCTCCTTCTCGGGCTGGCACCGCTCCTGGCGCGGCTCTGTAGGTGTCGGCTCCTCCAGGTCCGGGTGCTCCAGGGCATGAGCCGCTAGGTGTCTGTCTATCAGGGTCAAGGCTTCTCTCCTTACAGCTGCCCTTTCTCTCCTTCTTTCTGCTCTCCCCTCTCGGGAAGGAGTTTTTTCTGATGAAGGCAATGGGGCCTCCTCTCTCTGCAATTCCCCTCCTGTCTGGCGCATGCTCCGAGGAGCATCTTCAGGTCTCAAGCCCACTGCTGGCGTCTGAGGGGGCGTGTCCTCTCCAACCTCTATCACTTCCTTTCCTGCACGTCTCTCCTCATTGCCTAGCCCTCTCTTTCGCTGAGTGTCCTGGAACTCCTCCTGTAGCACCTCCTCTCGTGGCACCTCCTCTCGAGGCACCTCCTCTGCCTGCTCGCCATGCTCCTCATCCTGAGGCGACGCTCTCCACTGAGAGATATCCAAATGCGCCTCCAACTCCCTCAAAGGTTCCTCAGATGTTGGCGGCTCCTCCTATGTGCGTGCTGGCGACCTCCTCAATCCTCCCTCGGCAAACCGATGGAACTCCACTAGTCCCAACCCACACTCAGGGTACTTGCCTCGCTCCTCAGCCTCTGGCTCTGGCTCCTCCTCTCTCCTAGCTAGGGCCTTTCGTCCTCCTCGAGACGGTCTCGCCTCCCTTGGCTCAGGGTCCCTCTGCCTCTGACTCCTCTGACGCCTTTCAACTCCAGGCTGAGGGGGCTCTGGTCGTCGAAAGGCCTCTCTCAGATGTGCCCTGCATCTCTCCCAGTCCCGGGCCATGTCTCGGACTTGGCTAGCCAGTGGCCTTTCCGCCTTTCTGGTCCAGAGTGGTAGCGTCTGCATCCAATCATCTCTCGGTATACCCTGCCCCTGCATGAACCACTAAAACGCGGGGATGAAGTCCGATGCATTTCCAATCTCCAGGCGGATCGGTCTGCCATCACGTCCCACATGCGAGGGTCGCAGCTCCTGCATCCTCCACTCCACCTCTGATCTCGTCGTCGCCTCCCTACGGATCCGCGCGACGGGCTCCTCGAACCTGCCTGCTCCCCTCAGTCTCTCAATCGCTTGGGCCACGATCCAGCCCATACGCCTTGCATGATCCCAAAAGTTGTCCAGGAATAGCTCGATGTTCCCATCATCGTACACCGGAGTACTTTCTCGATGGTGAGGTCCATGTCGCTCATATCCTCCTGATGTTCCCAACAGCCTCCGAGGCGGCCATGTACCCTTCCCTCCTCTTGGCATGGCTGTCTTCGTAAAGTCAGACCTGCACAACAGGCGAAGGAGACAACAGGCACACATTGGGGTAAGCAAACAGGTGACAATCAAGCAAGCCCAGACCAGACCATACTCATGCAGCATACAACCTATCTGACCTACACACCCTATTACTTCTATTCTAAAAGCAGTCAGGTCATCTCTCTTACCTCTTCTCTCGCCACGAATTTCTTCAGTCGCGTTTCAGATACCCAATCCTTCCACTCAGTCTCATTTAGCTCCTCAATCTGGTACGCTCCGAAGTCTCCGACCCGTACGATCCGGTAAGGACCTAAGCACCTCTTATCGAGTTTCCTGGATCACTGCTTCTCCAAAGATGAATCGTAAAGGAGCACAACATCCCCAACTGTCAGAGGTACTTTCCTCACCCGAGCAGACTCATCCCATCGAGTCTTATCATCCATACGACTTCTAGCCACTTGATCGGACGCCTCCTGGATCCTTTCCTCTATCGCTCTTATCTGTCGCGCCCGAATGTCGAGCAATTCCTCAAAGGACAGGTCGACTTCCAGATCCTGGCGCCTCCAAGTTTTAAGAAAACTCTCGATAGGGAAGGTGGCGTACCTTCCATACCACAGCGTCGCAGGTGCGAACTTGGTGGACCTTTTTACTGTAATGTTCTCGACGAAGAATGTCGCCCTTAGGTACCTTGGCCATTGATTAGGTCTCCCTTCGGTCCACTTAGCCAGGAGACTCGTAATGGTACTGTGCCCTCTTTCCACCGGAGCGTTCGCCTGGGGGTGCGCAGCCGTGGTGTAGTTAGCTACTACACCATACCTTGATAACAACTCCTGCACCTCCTGGCAAGTAAATTCTGATCCCCTGTCCATTACGAACTCCCTGACGAAAGGATAACGCAGGTAGTACTCCTCGATGCAGCTAACTAAGACTGAACCAGTCTTGGTACGAATGGCACGTCCATCTACGAAGCCAGACAGGTTATCGCGCGCATCGAAGATGTAGTTATAGCCCTGATCCCCAAGCGGCATAAAAAGTAAATCGAGATGCACTACAGCCCCCACCTCTCGCTCTAGCCTTGGATGCAGTGGCTCTCCTTGCCTCAAACGAGATCTCTCCTGACACGGTACGCAGGATCGACAGAATTTCTCGACCATGTCCATCATTCCATTCCAGTAGTACAGATCACTTATCTTGGCATACGTGGCTTGTACCCCTCGATGCCCTCCTGCAATGCCATCATGAAGTGCTACTACGACGTCAATCTGGTGGTTCCTACTGCAAACGACTCTCCTGGGATTTCCCACTTCTCTTCTTACGAAAAGGTGGCCGTCTCGCACTAAATAGCGCTGCAGCATCCTCTGAGCCCTATCGCTTGCATCCCTTAGCCGCATTTCACATGACAGAAGAAGCCCCAGCTCTAGGTAGATCCCGTCGTACTCCTCTGCACGAAAAGCCTCCTTAATCTCCCTCTCCTCGAACTCGTCGTCCTGGCTCTCGGGCACTTCGTCCACATTCCCTGCCGGGTTCAACGAGCCTGACTGGTCGAGGCTTTCCTGCAATAACGTGTTGACGAGGAGATACATTCCTCCCATCAGGTTCTCATGCCATTCTTCCTAGCCAGGTCCTTCCTCAATCGTCGTCATGTCCTCCACCAGGTTATGCGAGCTGACCAGCGCTAATGCCATCATCCACTGAACATCCTTACCACCCCAGGGATCCTCTTCTTCAAAGGGTTTGAGGACTAGCTCAGTCCTCCGTTCGTACCCATTTGGCATTTGCCAGATAGGATAACCTACACAGTTGGGCACTCGCGGCGACCACTTGTTGATGTGAAGACGGACATGTTCTTCCTGATCCAGAAATCCATCAACTGGGGGCGTATTCTCCACCGCCTCCCCTTCCTGTTTATCCCAGTTGATCCGACTCAGCCCGTCTGCCCGGTTCTTACTACCAGGAATCCGTTCCAATTCGAAATTGAACATCCAGATGTACGTCAGCCATCTGGCAACCGTCGGATCCGATGGAACGTAATTCCTTAGAGAGTAGGTCAGGGCGGTCGGATCCACTCTCAAAATAAATCTCCTACCGAAGATGTAGTTTCGGAAGATCCGCAGACAGTGAACGACGGCAAGGGTCTCCCTTTTGCACTGAGAGTAGTTCCTCTCTGTTGTCGTACAGAAAGTCCGGCTCTCAAATCGCAAGGGTCTTTCCTTTCCTTCCATGTCTGCCTGAATTAGAACTCCCCCTAAGGCAGTCGGCCCCGCATCTGTTTGAACAATGAAGGGTCGTGTTTCCGTGTCACGTTCATGTGGATTAGCCCTCGCGGCGTGTGCATAGCCGTCACTGGCCTGTCCGGCGGGTAGACCAGAAACTGATCGTATCCTGAGTAAAGGTCTATAAGCGAAATTATAGGTCTTCCAGCACAGGATTCCGACAGTGCGTCTGCATTGTGTAACCCTCTAGCATCCCGCACGGTCACCGCATTCAGTCTTTGCAAATCTTGCACCCACCGCAGCGTCCCGTTAGGCTTAATAAAGCAGAATCACGGGGACGCATACGGTCCACTCGAATAGTCGGCGACGTGCGTACTTATCTTGCCGTCGATATAGTCCACCACCTTCTTTTCCTCGTCAGGATTAGGATATCGCGCCCGTCTCATGTTCCAAGGCTCGTGTGGCACGGTGTGGATACGAATCATAGGTATCTTGTCCACATCCAGCCTGCCGTGCTCCTCGTCACTAAACGCATAGGCGCGATGCCTCCTCTTCATCAACTCCACCATCAATGTTCGCTCCTGAGGTTGTAGGAAGTCGGGCTCCCCTATAATCAACTCCCCTTCATTCCTTTCGTTGATACGACATGACCGTGCTAGAGCATTCTCCTTCATTCGTCGTATCAATTCTCGTTCCCTCTCGTAGTATGCCTCCTTATCTTCTGTAACGAGGACGAAAACCGGGCGGCACTTCTTATCTACCGTCTTGTACCGCCTTTGGGAACCCTGCTTGAGCCGTCCCCTAAAAAAGGTCGACTCACAGATTGTGCTTGCACTGATGCGGGGTTCCTTCCGCTGCCCGGGAGCCGATATACCAGCTCCAACTTTCCTGCCTCGGGGCATTCTAAAACCTGCTCTCTCAAAGCCTGGATGGCATCCGGATCTTCCATCTCATGCGCGGCCACCAAGTCCATGGTTTTCCCAACGTCCGACAGGATGAGGGAAAATGCTTTCACCCTCTCTCCTGCTTCGGGCTCTGCCCGGAGCCTCCGGCGCTCACCTTCCGACTCTTCAATCGTGAATGATCCTGGATTGGGTCGGTTCCTTATACTCCTTGACCCTGTATTCCTGCAGGTAATTATCTCGTAATTCTCGCAGGCAGGATCGCATAAGAGAAGGATTAGAGTCCCGTCATGTTTGTTGAACATCACGGTTTTCGTCCTGCTTAGGAATGACCTCCCCAGGAGGATTCCATGGTCCACGTCCGGCATTATGAAGAAGCATGCCCTGGCCTTCACCTTTCCAACCTCGATGAGCACATTCGAGGCTATCCCGCAAAACACGGCCTTACAGCTGGCTCCATGCAGAATACCGCAGTCAGAACGGTCTATATCCAGCCCGAATCTTGTCGCGTCCACCTCCCGAATAATGTTCATCTCTGCCCCGGTGTCCACCATTGCCGCGCACTTGGAACCTTTCACCACTAAATCCACCGTGCCGCAGGCTACACACTTGCAGTCCATTTTCGTACCCGACTCTGCCCACTCAGCCTCCTTGGGCAGGATCGTACCCAGGTGGACATTGGGCACCAGGCGCCTCGACAATCTCCCCTTCAGTTCATCGAGGAGTCGAGGGGCTGACGCTAGGATTTCCTTCAGGATCATGAGGTCATTATGCCCTTCCAGCAGCCGGTCGATCACCTTCTCTACGTCAAATCCCTCTTCCAAGCGAACCACATATTTCTTCCTTTTGAGCGGTCCGTCGCGCACGACCGGTTCGACCTCTCCCCTGGTTCCCTTTTTCCTCGCCCACTGCTCCGCTTTCTAATCCTCTTCTCGGCGCAGCCTCTCGTCTTCTTCCTCTTCATCATCGTCATCTTCCACTTTCACGGCCTCCTTTCTTTTTTATTCCGGACCGGAGTCGTAGAGGAACACCTTGGGGATGCTAGATTTCAATTTCCTCACTTCCTCACAGAGACCCACCAACTTCTGTTGGTACCTCCCCATCTTATCCAGCAGGTCCTCCATTTTCCCCAACAAGACGGACGGAGGTTCCATTCTTTCTTCCTCATCCTCGTCATCTGACTTGATGATTATGGGCTCTCCCGTCTTACTTCCTCCTCGTAGCCCTTGAGTCACTTCCTCGTCGCTCCCCACTTCCTCCACTCCAATCGGTGGTTCCTCCTTTTCCTGCCATAGCCTGAACATAGCAGGGGGTGGTGGCCCAGCTGCCGCCCTTCGCTGGGCTTCCGCCCTCACCCCTCCAAGCCTTCTGTCAATGGCCTCCCCAAACTGATCGTAAATGTTCCCATCCATAGTGGAGGAGATCAGCCCGCTTTTCTCGTCTTCCCGCCTTATTTTACAGAACCTTATGGTGTGGCCTTGCTGGTCACAATGCTGGCAGATGACCGTCCTCCAGTCAAAACGGGGTCTCTCATACCCCTAACTTCCCTGATCCCCCTGGCCTTGATACCGTTGGCCTTGGTACCCTTGGCCTTGATTTCCTCGGCCTTGACCATTCCATTGCCCTCCTCTTCCGTCGCAATTCCTGCCTCGCCCTCTACCTCCACCCCTCCCTCTATTTCCTTGGTTGCCCTGCCCCTGGTTCCCACATCCAGGCACGCTTCCCTGTGAGCTGGGAGCAGGTGATGGCGGCGGGGCCACAGGCTGGGCCTTAGCTGCGAGGTAGATAGGTGGCGGCATACTTATTTGTGGTCCGGCTACCGGTGGTGGACTACCCCATGGCACAATTGCATTGATCACCGGCCAGGGTCACAGTCCGTATGAGGGCGCCCCTCCTTGCGAGGGGCTCGTACTAGACGATGGAGCAGCCACATTTGAAGGAGCTGCCGCCACCTCCTGAGGCGCGTGTCCGCCCTAAGCTTTTCCTGATCCCTGTCCGCCCTGCGCTAAATTACGCACTTTGCGCTGGACCTTCGTCAGGTGCTGCAGCACCGGCTCTGCCTCTTCCCAGAGCTCTTCCTGAACAGCCTCCTCTATCACCGGCTCCTTTCCTTTCACTTTGACATCCGTCACCACCCTCCTTTGCACCACCGGTTCAATTGCATATCCTAGTTGTGCCAATACGTCTGTAACAATCCTTCTTACCCCCGGGGTCCCAGAAGCGGTCGCATCTCTTTCCTTTCTCTTCTGCCTTTGCAGGCGTACCTGACGTTGCTCCACCTGGTCCAAACATCCAACTTCCACCCCTCTGTCAATGGTGGTCCAGGTGAGCTTGGTGCTACATTCTCCGTGTCTTGTTAACTCAACGGCCTCCGATGCCGTGAGTAGCCCCAGAAAAATGGCGCACTGCGCCTCCTCCGAAATCCCATGGACCTTTCGCGACCTCTTCTTGAATTCCTGAACAAAGGTCCCTATCGTCGTAAAGTCCTCCTTGTTCATCGCCTCAAGGTCCGTGGTGGTCAACAATCCATCTCCCAAGCGGTACTTCCTCTTCATTCCTTCCTTGAACCTTTACCAGCTACCTTGGGCCGCAACTATAACTTTCTTCACTTCCTGGTGGTAGTTGTGGAGAACGTACTGGAGAATGCGCTGAAAGTTTACAACATCCGACCGCCCGACCAGAGCTTGTTCCACCTGCTCCAGCCATTCTGAGACTCTTTCCCCACAAAAATGGAAGGTATCGACCTTGGGGATATTGCTCGGATTTTTTTCATACCTGTCAATAGCCGCGATAAGGTCATCGAGCATCAGGCCTTTCTTGGGAGCACCTGACGCGCCGCCGCCCTGCGACATCTTGAGAGACTCTTCTCCTCAAGCTCCGTGATAAGAGAAAAACAAGCACACCCCTTTATTCACCATTACACCTTAACCGGTCTATTCCTTCCGCTCTACCTAACCCTTACTGCATGCTTTACCCAGTGTTAACACGATCGTCCTTCATACTTCCCCTAACTCAGGTAGGTAAACTTCTTCCGCTCTACCTAACCCTTACTGTATACTTTACCCAATGTTAACACGATCGTCCTTCATACTTCCCCTAACTCAGGTAGGTAAACTTCCTCACCTATACTTAGTCGCTCATTTCCTTTTCTTACCTTCTCGTCATTCCCTTATCCCTTTTTCCCATTCACTTCACATACCCGGATGTCGTTCCACCAGGGACAACGGTAGGTTTTTCGTTATCCCCGGCAACGGCGCCACCTGTCGAGCGCATCGGTTCGGCACCGCACCAGGGCAGCGCGGGACCCTCCTAGCCGCGTCACGCAGGAGTTGGACTAAAAATCCTCTGTCGCGATATACATGAAGCTTTCACAAGCCGCTCCGGCCGAGTGCGCCAGCCAGACCTCTCACGAGCCCCTACGACAGGATAGGGCCTACGCGAGGCGCAGCTTACCTACACCTTACGAGAGTTGTCACTTCCCTTCGGTGGGCGTATCCCCGCCGAGCTACCAGCCCACAGTACGAAAGTTAATCAGTTGCAATCGCAGAGGTCGACCAGCCGAGGGCGTTTCTCGTTCGCTGTAGCATAAGGGGTACGCGCGGTAATGCGCCTCTATCGGACTTGTACGCGAACCAGCATCATGGGGGGCTGAAGTACCAAGCGCGGCTCATTGTCGGTCGACTAGGACGCATCCCACACACCACGCGCACACCACTTAACGAACACAAAAAATAAAACCCACACACACACATACGAGACAACACAATATGAACAAYGYGACAACGCYCCTAGCCCCYCGGTAGCCGCCCCATAACTTCCTGATACGGAAATCGGATAGGCGTCACGCGCGAGACTTGATATAAATTTGTGCGGACGCAGGGCAGACTCATATCGACTCGCTATGCAAGCGTACGCAAGCGGTCACAATGATGGCGTACTATGTAGTGCCCATAATCAAGCGGTCCCTCGTGGATCCGAGTACCGCGTATGACACTTAAGTGTCAGACTCAAAGTGTCGTGAGGGTCTAATCCTTCACGACATTGCACGGTTGAAGGAATAGTCGTGCAGCCGCCGCGAGATCTCCGGCCTTTAGTCTGAGCGTCTCTGCAAGCAAGGCAAATAGGCTCTGCGCGAGGGAAAACCCCTGCAGAGCCTAGGGCTTGGGATGTCCTGGACAAGGACCTTGAATCCCGGCCCAGGACCAACGTCCGACTAAGAAAATCCATAAGAAGTAAAACCAATAAAAAGGAAGGACCTTCCCTATGCCTTTTAGTCTTAACCCCTGAGCACGGTTTTAGTACGGGGGCCCTTTAGCCAATGCAAGTATTCATCCCAAGTATACTCATATTTATGCATATATAACAGGGCGAAGTATGTGACGATCACTTCTCACAGTCTCATTGGGGTCCCTCACAGCCATACGTATATATGTGATCACAGGGCAACCACATCCAGAATCTGATTCATAGCACATACCTGCGAATCAAATCAACGAGTCAATCAACAGCCCACGCACTACACGGAGTCAACCCCAACCATCTTCAACACTCATACCCTTCGCTTTAGCCATGCAAGCCCCAACCTCCTGTCCAACGAAACTTAATTAAATACTCAGTACCTCTGTTAAATGGTCATTCAATAAAAGTCCGGGTGAAACCATAATGAAACAAAATAAAATCACCAGGGCTAAAGCCTTTTAGGTCGAGTGAGGGAGTGGAGTTGAGATTGAGTCATAAACAGACGAAACGGCAACCGACTTGTTATCAGTGATAAAAGATAAATGATCCTCAAGGGATCAAGTTGAATCTAGTCATGACCTTCAATCAAACAACCCAAAGGACCTGTAACATAAGATAGGTCAAATGCCCAGGCTAAATCATCAGCATATGGGGGATAAACCTCCATAGCACACCTCCTTATAATACTCTCTAGCACCACCTGTCGAAAATAATATAACTCCTCTGAAAACAGGAAAATTTCGGCAGCGCTTCCCGTAGGAAAAGTGCCCTCTCAGAATTTATATAAGCCCAAATATGAAATAAGAAATAACCCTTGACTCTCCAAAGTCCAAATTTTGTCTAACTCCCTGAATTAACAAAATTTTGGGCAGCACTGCCCTTAAAAAAGGAGGCTTCCCAGAATTTTACTAAGCAATATATGAAATCTTGACAAGTTGAACTTTTGAGAAGTCATAAATTTGACTAACTCCCCGACTTTGTAAAAATTTGGGCAGCACTCCCTTTAGAAAAGGAGGCTTTCCAAATTTTTACTAAGTTAGAAAGACAAGTTAAGTTTGGACAAGCAAGATTTGACTAACTCTTTGGATTTGCAGAAATTTCGGCAGAGCTTCCCGTGAGAAAGTGGCTTGCCAAGATTTATACAAAGCCAAGAATAAGAAAAGTTCCCAGAAAATGCAAAAATTGACCTAAGTATACAAAACTTAGCTCAGAAAATGCAGGAATTGAAACTAACTCCTATGGCTCTAGCATGTGGCGAGCGACTAAAGCAACTATCTATCAAACTGAAACTCAGACTAAGTAGTAGCCTCACTCAATCACATGCAGGCCAAACCACAAAGGTAAGTACTCTCACCATCCCAAAGTCAACCTGAATAAACAATAGTTCATGATCTCTCAATGATTGAACTCCTTACCCCCAGCTTACATTAGGCATAGGTCAGGCCGCCTGAACTTACAGAACAGCTTAACTTAGCCAGACCTAGAGTCAGAATACCTAAACTTATGGAGCGTTCTCACTTGGCCAAATATACACAAACAGATGGCACAACTATTTTTCTCTTCTTTGGGCACATTACTAGACCACTCTAGTCGCCCTGGACTGTTCAAAGTATCCAAGTTATATATACTTATCTTTTACCGTTGTCTTTTAAGGTTGCATATGACTGAACTAACTTAAGTTCAGCCTGCCCCAGTTTACCATCAATTTTATTCTTAGTTGTAATCTTTTCAAGTTGTGATACGGCTATAGTCAGACCACCTAAACTTATACAACAGTCTGATCAGCTCGTTCTTAAATAGAGTAATAATAAAGTATAGCCAAGTTATAACCTTTGGGTTCCAGCATGTGTGAGGCTTTGAGTCAGACCCCTTGAACTTACAGAAGGGTTCAACTCTCTGTCAGATTCGTTTCTATCTGAGCCAATATGTGTGTGCCATCGAGTCAAACCCCCTGAACTTACAGAAGGGTCTGCCTCTTTGCCAAGATTAATTCTTCAGAATAAATGGCAGGAAGAGACTGAGTCACCTGAACTTACAGAACAGCTCGGTCTCCTCGTTCAGAAACCAAAGAAACAAGTAAAATCCCAACGAAAACAAATCAACCAAAGGCACCAAAACTTATTGAGCGCCCTGAGTCCTTAAAAAAAATCAAGCACAGTCAAACCCCTCGCAGGTGAGAGCAATCAGGGCACCTGAACTTACAGAACAGCCCGATCCTCCATACAAACCATATCACTGGGTTTCCCCAAACTTATGGGGACATCCCAGCCTTCAGAGTAATCAAACCCCCTAAACTTATAAAAGGGTCTGACTTCTCCATACAAAACCAAAAGAAACAAAGCGTTGGGGTTCCCCAAACTTATGGGGACTCCTCGGCCTTAATGACCCAATCAACCATCAAACAAAACAGAACCCCCATGCTGCCTTTCCCCCAGATGCAGTTCCTTTTAACATTTCTGAATTCATACAAACAAACAAAAGTTGAAACTGAGACTTGAGGAGACATTCCTTACTTAGTATTGTTCAGTGTCCTGAAAGTCGAACCAAAAAGAAAGGTAAGGCTGCACACCATATATTCAGTCAGCGATGCATCAGGTAATACAAATACGGGCTATAGGGTGGGTGTATAGTGGGAAACGCAAAGGTTACCTATCAATTCCGTGCCTCCAGAGCCTCGCCTAGGCTCCGGCAGAGCTCTCGCAATCGGTGGGCGGACTCCCCACAGAGTCTTGATGAGGTCCTACGAGTTGCAATCCCGCATGCCGCCTTCCCCTCAAAACAAGACTAGAACTAGAATAAGGAGGTAGAAAGAGAAGGTTTGAGTCTCTCAGATACCAGGGGGGTGCTCTCAAACTCCCTGGAGGGGGCCTTGTAATTTTTTACGCCTTAGGGCCCCGCAATGGCAGCCAATGCGACAGCTTGGTCAACTTTRGATCACCTGTTGAAGTCACGCCCCTGACGACTCCCCAATTTGCAGCAATAATCCCTCCTTCCAAAGCCTAGTCACTTCTCTACACCTATCCGCCGCAGTCCGCAATAGTCAGCAGTAATCAATAGCAGGGGCCCCGCAGTATGTTGCCTCCCCCACTCGGTCGCGGCCTGTGGACGGCCAAGACCAGCAGTTGCGCACAGTCTACAGCAACAATCCGTGTGCAGTCCRTCGTATCAGCCAGCAGCCGCTGCGCAATCCGYAGCATCACTGCAGCAGTGAACCGCAAAAATGCACAATGATAGAGCGGCAGCAGTTCGTGGTGGCCTATAGCAGATCGCAGCAATCAATGGCCGGCTGTGACAGTCGGCCCTTCCAAACAAGATCTGAAGATGCGGCCCACAGCACTACGACTCCCGCCTTTGTCCCTTGTTACGTCAACTAGACCRAGGGTGCTTACGACCYTGG